AGCAGCTTGTCCTACCAGCCTTGTGTGGGTTTGGGCAGAATATGTGGATTGGAGGTAGCATGCCAATCTTCTCTGATTGGCATGCTATTGTCTGGGGCTTATGGTGGTGATTGGTGGTGGTTCCTGCTCATCTGGGTGTTGGTGAAAAGATGTGGGACCTTTGGTTGTTCCTTCTGAATACTTCATAAATAGGGTTTATTTTTATATGTCTGCTGATGGCTAAATTTGGCCAAGTACCAAGCTGCTAGGAATTCTCTTGCATTCTTAGATTAAAATCTCTAGAGTTTCCAGTCGGAATGGTGGTTGAACCCATCAAACAGCTGTGCAGAAGACAGATTCCACCCTCTTCTCCTTTGGCTCACTGCGTTGCATGTAAAATCCCCGTTGTGCCCAAACACAAAAATGGCAAAACTGCAAACCCTTTTTGCTAGGTTTAATTCATTATGGAACAGAAGTCCATCAACAAGAGGATTAAGTTTGTTTGGCAGAATTATTTTTCTGTTTCTGTTGTGGAAAACAGAGAACAAGAGTAACACTAAAGTGGTTCTCCCTGTTCTATTCTGTTTTGACAATGCAACTTTGGAGAGGTTTTTAAATAAGAGAATAATCCATTTCTTTGAGTTTATTCTACTGGCAGGTTTTTACAGAGAAGGAAATGAAACCAACCCTGTAATGGATTCTGGGAAGAATTGGATCCCAAAAACCCTGAAGTCTTCCTATTTCCTCAGTACATCCCAGTGGAATGTCTAGGGAGTGATCTCCCATTCCAAAAAATAGGTGGGAAACTTAAAAAATAAAGCACGGGGGAACGGGGAAGCTGCCATTCCCACATTCCTTCTGTCTTGCTGGTTTTGGATAATATAGTTCTGGGCTCCCAAGGTGTATTTCTAATTGTTTTTTAATTGCCATTGGATATATTTGCAAACTGCCCTAGAAATTTGGTTGAAGGAGCGTTGGAATCTGTCACAAATGGGACATGCCTTGAAATTTGTTTGGGGCCCACAACTCATCCTACCGCGCCCGAGCCTAGCCTAGGGAAGAATAATTAATGACACAAGTAACAATGCCACAACTGTGCGCCTCGTGAAAAAAAATGGGTTGGATTATTGCACACCCACTCCTGTAATACCAAACACGTGTAGTCTGCCAACATATTTCCCATTTTCTGGGCTTATGCGCAAGGAAGAATTTGTAATCAGCTTTCTTTCTAAAAGCAAGAAGCGTAGATGTGAATAGGCAGGAAAGTCACTTTGCAGCTCTACCAGCTGGTTTGGGCACATTCCACCAATCCACAATATGCCGAGAGAACCTGAAACCGGAGCGGACTTTGCCTTCCTCTCTACATGCTTAAGCCTTACAAATTACTTTATCCCATACAGGTTTTCCTGCCTAGGAGAAATGATTTTGTGCTGCATTCTTACTCATGTCTTCTCAGAATAATTTTTTTTCATCAAAGATGGGTTCCATGGGGTGAGAACAGCATGGCACAGAACATTTTTTCATTAGATATCAACTGAAGGTGGCCTATGGAGAATCAGGCAGCAGTAAGATTCTTCATCAGAGCAGTTAAAACACTAGGGATGGATAGATTCCTAAGGGTAAATTAAGTTGGTAATTAAATCCTCTCATTCAATTCAGGCTGTCATCATAAACCTGCTTATCAGGTAGCAAATTCTACTCAATTTGAATAGGACTGCAGTACATGCATAAATCAGGCTGTCATTGAGCTATGGGTAGGACAATGTTTGTGTGCGCGCGCGTGGGTACAAAAATTTTGTGCTGCTAGAAAAACTTGTGGCTTCTCCCTGAGTCATCTGATATTTCCCTGTGCAGAGATAATATTGTTTGCATCATTAAAGTGTGATACTCATCATGAAATATTGAAAACAGAACTGATTTGGGTACTTCCTATTGCACCCTTCTATTTTAATTCTGAACCATTTATACTAAGCTATAATACAATCTGTAATGTTTTACTACTGTATCTTGCAGGATTAACATTTGCTCTTGAAGAACTACTGATATTCAGGTCTGGTTAGGAATCCTACTGTAATCAAATGCCGGATACTCAACTTGAATTTTTATCAGTTGTGAGTTGTTGCTTTAGTAATTTTCAGCAAATCTCTAAAAGTTGTCACTGGAGTGGGGAATGCAGACTGGAATCACTTCCGATAAATTATTCAACTGGTAGTTGTACATACAGAATGTAAGATTTTATTGAGACAAAACACTTCTCCTGTATGCATAAGGTTGCTGATCCAGTCCCTGAAATCTTGAAGTTCAAGAACTCAGGTAAAAGTGTTGGAAAAGAAGCTCTTGCACACATCCTGGGAGATTCAGTATCAAACACTTTTAATTATTATTTTTCATTTATAAAGCACCTAAAATGCACTCAATGCAGTACCCAACATTAAAAACAAGGTTGTTCCTTCCCACTGGCTTGCAGTTTAAAATTCCACGGCACAAATGTGATGGGGAAGAAAGAGAGAGGGAAAAGAATAAACTTAGATAACATGTTTTTATTGTGGCCAGCTGGAATAGAGACAAGTTGGATCCCAATCGCAGCTGGATTCTCGTGGATTTTTTACTTCAGACCAGAGAAGTAACAGCTAAAAAGAAAATGGGTATGTTTGAAACAGAATTTGAGCTCCAAAGGATGTAGGGGAGAAGGATGGCTTCATGTGCCCTCATGCTGCTTGGGTCTCATATGTAACTGGCAGTTTACAACGCAGGAAGAGCCCCAATGGATCTGACCAATCACCTATCTGAGGCCTCTAAAAGCCAAAATGCGCACCCTCCTCGACTAGATCATGGCCATTCAGCCCCAAAACTCATCACTGCTTCAATGCACCCTCCTGTTCCAGTGAATTCCCTGTTAGGCATGACAGAACCTTTCATTCTGTGCTGAGAAGTTTTGACAATTGGGGCAAAGGGTCTTGAGGAGCTGGCGGTGAAATCTGATTATTTACTGGCACCCATTTAAAAAAATCTGCTAACGTTATAGAAAAACAGCCTCAGACCCCCCCCAAACTGATCTCATCATATCCCGCTTTTTACTTTCTTGCAGTTTTAAAAATATAATTTCCCCATTCAACGTCTTTATTTAAAAGGGAAAAGGAGAAGGTTCAAAGAAAGAAACGCAGATGCTTCAGTGACAAGATCCGGAAGGCATACTGACCTCCAAAAACTATTATTGTACTGCAAAGTCAAGTTTCAGTTAAGTGAATGGGAACATGCATTTAGCACTAAATTGCCTGCAGGACTGTACCGCTGTCTACTGGGCCTTCCCAGTAGGATCACAACCTCCCCACGAGTTGCCACTTCAGATTCAGTTCACTTTTTCCTTGCTTGACATTCTAAGCTGGGATACCTCCCTTCCACCAGTATACGTACATATCCAGGAACATTTTATACATTCAGCAAAATCAAGCTGTTAATTTCTTTTTCCTACGGAAGAGTAAAGGCTCACATGTTCCCATGCGAGGAGGCGGCAAAAAAACCCACAACTCTCTGTATACAGATATCTAGCACCTCAGAGAAGAGGATTCCATCTATCTTCTGTCCTGACATGCAGCCTAAAATGATCCACTGAATGTGTCAACTCACTTTGTCAGCGAAGTTTAAGTTCTCAGGAAAATTTGAGGCTGCCAAAATTAGCCTAACAAACACTTGGTTGTTGAAATCAAGTCCCTTGCTTGCTCTCCCTAAACTAAGGAAAGGCAGTAGGCCTTCCAAGCAAACAAGGAACTCCTAATTTTGAAAGCTGGCCATGGAGGCAGCGGCGGCAGCGGCTTTGCAACAGCTGATAATGGCCTCCACTTCTTCCTGAGAGCCAGAGAATGCGAGGATATTGATCATATACTGTCTGCTGCAAGCCAAGGTGGAGAGATGCCCTCTGACTTCTTCAGAATCTCCATCCAGCAGAGGCCCACTTTCATCTATGACAACGGGAGCGGAACTTAAATTAATGGAGCAGAAAAGTATGAAGGACATCATTTGTTCCAAGAATTATGGTAGTTGTGCTTCTTACCACCCCTTCCAACAAGTTGTTGGAAAGTTTATACAAATTATTTTCACAAGTGGTTGCCCCATGAAGGTAATCTTTTGCCTACTATGAGAAAAAAAAAAAAATGGCCAGCAGATCACTGAAACGTGGGCCAGTGGGAGCCACTGCATTCCCAATCCCAGTGGAGGTTCCTCAAGGGACTGCCAAGTTCAGTTTTCGATGATTATTCCTCCACTTGCTGCTGCTTCATGGTCTTCTGTTTGGCATGTGAATGTCTACAGGGACAAATGTCACCGCAGTGTTCCGGGAAGTGTTTCTGCTGTCTTGTCCTAAAATTGAGGGGATGGTGTGTTTTGCATTCTTTGGCTCCAGCTCTCGCTTAGTCCTCATGCGCCTACAAAGAACCAAGCAGACTTTGTGTTATTGTGCTGGTTGTGCAGCAAAGACAAAGAGCTGTGGCACCTGAAAGCTGACCACCCCTACTATAGATAAGCTTTTGCAGACCAGAGTCCTGGTGGACAGACCCTTGTTCTGAGAAAGCATCCTTGCTTTGCCACTACACAGCTCCAGAAGACTACTCCATTCAGGAGATGTCCCTCAAATTCTTTTCTTTTTAGAATAAACTTTTCAGAGCAATTTTTTTACATCAAATTACATGAGAAACGGCAGTGGGGAAATTTCAGGAGATTCTCTTTCTCATTCTTCCCCAGTTTCTCTGCAGCTCTGAAAATATAGACAGTAAGAATGCCCAGGAGGTCCTGATGTAGCTAATTTATTAGATTTGTAAGGTTGCCCAGCTCAAAACAACTCTGGGTGGTGTTAAATGTTAAAAACAAATTACAAATAGCAATTAATTAATTAATTGTTAATCACCCCTAGAACTGCTCATTATTTATTTATTTAACCAATCAATCAATCAATTAGATTTATTTACAGGACTTACAGGCTGCTTTAGTCAGAAGCAACTACTGGCCCGCTTCTCTCTCTTTTGTGTGTTTTTGATGAACAAAAATGGCACATTAGCCTATAACGTCTCACAAAAGGAAAACTGAATATGAAAATGCGATGACAGCAGGATTTGATTTATGAGGTAAAAATGCCCATGGAATACATAATCAGAGTGATTGCTTTCCTCAGACAGACACAATGATGTTATTTGTGACATCATCATGACGTCATTTGTGAAATGATGTCATTTATGAAATGATGTCATTACATATGGGAGGTCTTTGTTCCCCCTTCCACCTCAGATACCTAAGGACCGAGCAGTCGCATCCAATCAGTCGACTGTTCTCCTGAAAAATGAAAAGAACTTGAGAAACATAAATCAAATGACTAACCTGTTATACATTTTAAGGGTGAGCAGAACTGTTGTAAATATTACTATGACGCCTACTACAATAGCGGCAACAATTGCTCCAGAACCTAATAAGGAGAAAGAAAAACAGCAACTTGATAAAGCAGATCTGTTTGTGTATGCAAAGTTTTAAATACATTTCAATTGCCAGCTTATAATAAAATAGAATCCCCATGTCCTACCTATGGGAACTTTACTTTATGGAATAACTTCCTTCCACAGATCAAGCTGGCAGGACTCTGGTAGTCTTTCACAAAGCTGCCAAGGTGGAATTGTTCCACAGGCCTTCTGATATTGCCCCGTGCAGGTTGGCACCGCTGTATTGTCATCTTTACTACTGTTTAACTTTTACGTTGAATTTCTACTGCATTTAATAATTCTAAACCATTAGGAGCTGTATGACTTTTTCACAGTATATAAATTAAAAGAATGAATGAACTGCCAAATGCTAGGAAAATCTAAGCCCCATTTTTACAGGGAAGGGAAAATGAGGTCCATGATCAGGACCTGGATCAGTTGCCCAATTTGCCTCCTCCTAAAGCCTCCACTGAAGGAAGCAATAATCATTTGAACGCCTGCATCTTTGCAGACCCTAAACTGGATTTTTGAAACAACATGCTTACAGCAACTGGTGCGCAGAAAGCCACTGCTGCTGGTTGCCCCAAACAAGCCACTGTTCTAGCACCTCATCTTTTCCTGCCTCTATGAGATGCCTTTCTCACGCTTGATAAACAGTGGTTCTTTCACTGAACGGCTGGTTTTCGATCACTGAGCAGCAATAATATTTTGGAAAACCAGAAGGACTTTTCCTGCCCAAAGACTGTACAACAAGGGAAACATCCCACTTGGGGGTGAGAGGACAATTCAGATAGATAGATAGATAGATAGATAGATAGATAGATAGATAGATAGATAGATAGATAGATAGTCCTCTCACCCCCAAGTGGGATGTTTCCTGTCTGTCTGTCTGTCTGTCTGTCTGTCTATCTATCTAGGAATTGTCCTCTCACCCCCCAAATGATATATATATATTAAATTTTTAAAAAATATTTTAAAGAAATTTTAAAATAAAAACAATACAAATTTTGAAAGAGAAAAGTAAAGAAAAGTAGTAAGTGAAAAAAGTACAAAGAAAGAATAGAACAGAACAGAACGGGAGGGGAGGGGAGGGGTTATAAAGAAGTGACTTCCAGACTTAACAGTAGTTACAAGTGCATTTACATTTTACCCTAAGATTACAACATAATTCCCTTCCATCCATAGTCTACCCTTTCTAATCATCCAACCCACAAATCACAAGTTCGTTTTTTTTTCTTTTTTCAGCAAAGTTCACAAGGGGTTTCCAGTCACTAATAAATGTAGTTATTGCCCTTTCTCTAATCCAACAGGGGTGAGAGGACAATTCCTGTTAAACAATTAAGCTTCCAAAAACAAACCTTCTCAGTTTGATACAAACCACCCCGAGATCAGTTCCTTGAAGATGACAGCCATTATCTATGGCTCATCCCCAACAGGACTTAAATTTTATTTAAGTTTTATTTGGTGATGAACGTTCGTTGGAGCAAAGCGCCTCTTCAAAGCCTTGCGCTCCACACGAACGCCCGGTGAAAAGCAATGCTCTGAAGGGGTGTTCTGCTTCCCAAAGGTTCTTCCTTCCAAGAGCGAAGTGAAGCAACTTCATTCTCCTCTGGTATCTACAGCGGGTGGAGAGTCTTCTGCACCGGGTCAGCACTCTACTTGCAGAGAAGCCTCTTCCAGCATCGGCAGATACCAGGAAGGCAATGAGCTGATGTAAAACCCTTGGCCAAGGGAAACAGCTTCATCTCTTCAGATCCCATCACCTCTACAGCACCCAGTACCTCATCAGGGCAAATCCAGAGCTGATTCATGCAGATCTCGAACGTGTTTCTTTTCGCCTAGTCACACGTTAGCAGTGCAAAGACCCACAGCCCGATGCCAACCCTGCCCTTTCTTACTCTGATAAAGGATTTGCTCTCGAGACTTTGTGGTCACATTCGTCCAAGTCAGGGCATATTCAGACGTTGGAGCGGCTGTGGTCATCTTGATTCCAACTAGGCAGAGCAAGGAGACAACGTTAGAACGACGCAAAGGGAGCCAGCGAGAATCACAACAGAGGGGCCGACATCAGGCAAACGGAGCAACGTCCGTTGATACCGATACAACACAGCAGCTTTCTGGTTTCACAGAACACGTTGGCTTTATCCAGATGATCCCCCTCTCCATGGAGATGATTTATAAAGCAATCAAAGCCACTTATTTGGTTCCCTGAAATATTTATAGCCAGAGCACTGTCCTAAGGATCTCAGGGTGAGTTGCGATCCATGAAAAAGAAACGATGTGAAATTCTAACACAAGGACACTGATGCCCTGATTTTTATGGGGGAAGAGAGGGCACAGCCAGGTTACAAGGATTCTTGCAATCAGATAAGGGGTAGGGAGCCTTGAGGAAAGAACTGGGGAGGGGGGCACATTGCCCCCTGAACACTGGACGGCACAATTGATAATACAGCATCACTTTGCTCTAGTACCATCAAATATATGTATCCTAAATCAGTGGTGCAATGGTTAAAATGGGGAATTTATAATCTAGTCCAGTGTTTTTCAACCTTGGCAACTTTAAGATGGGTGGACTTCAACTCC